ACCTGAGCCCGCTGCAGCTCTCCGCCAGCAACCTGCAGGTGAGCGGGCGGGCGGCCGGGGGCGGCCCCGCCTCTCCTGCCCCCGGGGGCCCGGCGGGATGGCGGCATCCTGGGCGAAGCCATGGGGGGATTCTTTGCCGGGACCCGGAGGACAGCGCACCCCTGAGTTTCAGGAGTCCGCTTGGCGTCTCCAATACTGAGCTCCGACTTAAAGGTCTTAAGGGTGCCGAGTTCTTTAGGTCGATGAGCATTTTGCAGATGACATCAGGGTCCTCCTCCTGAAGGCAGGCTTTCCCTGCCGCCGTAGGAAGCCAGCGCACCAGGTCTCGCACAGGCACAGTGATCGTGGCAAGCTTTGGCCTCCAGTGCGCACAGTGGCCTCACCCTTTTCCCACCTTCTAGAGCCGCGCAGAGCCTAGAGCTGTGGCGGACCTCTGCTGCCCCGTGGGTAGGCTCAGAGCCACCAAACCCAGGAAGGGAGCCTGATTTGGCCCTTTTGACAAAGATCTCAGATTTCAGGTTAACTGGAAAAGTATATTATCCACCTTTATGTTACAGGGGTGGCCCAGAAGAATACAAGCTCCAAATTCCGAGCCCTGATCCACAGTTTCTCACAACATTTGTAGGTGATGTGGCATCATCTTAGACCTATCCTGCCATTGGAGCTTTTTTTCTCTTAAAAAAAAAAATCTTATTCTCTGTGGTTGAGGGGGTTCTAACATAAAGCATGCTTACAGAAACAGATAAGAAGAAACTGTTGAATCTCCAGCCTTGAAAGCCTGGCCCAGGGATGTTTACCTATCAAGAGGGGGTAGTCAGACTCTTAGGACAGGGTTTTTGTTTTGTTTTGTTTTTAAATACTTTTAGTTGTAGAGGGCACAATACCTTTCTTTTATTGATCTATATTTATGTGATGCTGAGGATCCAACCCAGTGCCTCACACATGCTAGGCAAGGACTCCATCACTGAGCCACAACCCCAGCCCCTCTTAGGGCAGTTTTTTACAATCCAAAAGGTAGGGACCATGGTTAGCTAGGCTTCTTGGAGAAAGGCTGAGAGAGGGGAGGGGACTGAGCCTTTCCCCAGGCATTGGTTTCTTACCGTAAGGTTTTTGTAATGTCATTTCATGACCACGGCTGGTCTTGCCATCACAAAGAGAGAGGTGAAGGGAACGTGTTTAATTAGGTGCATGCACCAAGCTGACCTTCCTGCCCATTCCTTTTCTTTTCCTTGTCTCCTCTAATAACTCTTCGAAGTAGGTATTATTATCCCCATTTTGCAAATGCAGAACTTGCGCCTTAGATGGGTTGACAGTCTGTGGCCTGAAGGCAGATGGACCCAAGGCTTCAGACTGGCGCCCATGAGCTGAATATGGCCACAGACCAATTTTCTTCAGCACACCCAGAGTTCTGTTTTGTTTTAAATTAAGTTTTGATTAGTTACCAGTCTTTTTAAATTCGTGTTTTACTTGAAAGTTTAAATTGCTGACTTCTTTGGAAAGTTGGAAGCTCTAGTGAGCCCGGGCGGGGGCCTCCGTTTTCTGAGCAAAACCAGAAGTAGCTGCTGCTTCAGCTGAGCACACACACCCAGTTCACCACTGCTCACTCCCAGGCCACTCCACTCCTTCAAGACAGACTGTTTCACTCCACTTGTGAGGCTCAGTTTGGCTGCCAATCATAGTGACTTGGGGAGACTTAAAAAGGCACTTTATTCTAAAATAATACGCCCCCACTCCCAGATCCCTGCTGATATTCTAATGGGAAGGGGGAGGTTGAGCACCACAGCTGGACATGGTTGTGTTTACATTTGTGAGCTGACCAGGGCGTGTGGCATCATCCCCGTGACAGAGGGGAGGAAACAGACTCCAAGGACTAACCAGCTAAGGGCCATCAGGTGGGACTCCAGCCCAGGTATTTGTAGGAAAACAATGTTGAGAAACCTACCCAGGATTTCAGGTTTCCGTGAGAGCAGGGAAAAGATGTGGCTATGTCAGAATTTGTCCTATGGCTTCCATCAGTGAGCTCGTTTGTTTCTGCCCTGTCTTCCCTCCTGACCACTAGGATGGGCTTCTCTTCATGGAGTGAGGGAAGTCGTTCGGGAGGAACAAGAAGACCCAGGTCTGGGGCCACGTCTCTTGTGTAAATTGCCCGTCCCTTGGAACTCAGAGACAGGTGGTGTGGTTCAGCTGTACTCACCACCAGGACGCTCCTGTGGTCTTTTTCTTTGTGGCCGTTTCGGATAGTAAATGATCATAGGAATGTGCTGCTGGTGTTAGGGGTAATGGTACCAAGTCGGGTTGCAGGACGCGAGTTGGAAATGAGATCTGGGGTTGATTCTCTGCACCAAGACCTCAAGACTACTGGCCTGTCTTCCTGACATTCTCCTCTTGTAATATGACCTTCTAGTTTCTGGGTACTCCTGGGTTTTTTTCTTTGATTCCCTAAAAATAAATATCTCCCAAAGTCCATTTCTTACCCCTCTATTCTCAAGGTCCTTGGATTCTCGTGGCTTCACTTCCTCTTACTAAGATTCACTTCCAAATTTGTGTGTTTCTGACCTCCCCAGAGTTCCCCATTTCTAATACTTGCCGTTCATTTTTACTTCACTAGATGATACCACCAGAAATTCTGTATGTTCAGAGCCAGTTCTCTTCCTCTGGAAACCGGCTCCCCAGTCCTGCGTTTCTGTTAATGGAATCAGTATTTTCTCAGTGGATACATTGGGGATTTCACTGCCCCTCCCAAATCCCTTGGTGCCAAAGTCCCGCCAGTTTTCCTTTTGCTTCCTCTGTGCCAGTCCTTGCCCCGCCCCCCATCCCACCGCTATCTCCTTCTGCCTGAAGCCCTGAACAGCCAGCTCTGGGGTCATCTGCCCCGTCCACCCTGCCCACCAGATTCACCTTATCACAGTGTGGCCTGTGCCCTGACCAGCGCCCATGGCCTGTTGCTGCCAGGAGTTCCCTGGGATCAGCTTGTGGACAAGCTGGCCAGGGTGGTTTGGGAAGCGCTGCCCAGTGCTGGCCTACAGAATACAGCCGGCTCCTGAGCTCGGCCAGGCCCTGCCCTCCGGGCTGCTCTCTCCCAGGCTGGGCGTCCCCACCTGCCTCCACTCTCCCAGTCCTGTGGTCTGGAGCCTTCCTTGCCTCCACTTCAGTGTGTCCCCCCCTTCTGTCCTGAGGTTCAGTAAGCACAGGGCTCCCTACACTGAACCTGGACCATCTGAAGGCCGTGAGTTTTCCTCTGACCTGTCCGTGTCTCTGTTCTGCATCACGAAGGGTTGCTCAGGTCTCCCCCCAGCCCCTTCCTCCCTTCCCCTTGGGTCTCCTTGCCTCATCACTGGGAGACCACACATTTTAGCTCAGTGACTTGAAGGAGCTCTGTCCCAGCTCAGAGTTTCTGACGAGACCCTGTGAAATGCGGGCATTCTCCGGAGCCACGGGCTGAGGAGCGAGGCGGTCTGGAATGCCGTGTGCCCTGTGAGTTTGAGTCACCTGCCCGTGGGAGGCTGGTGTTGGGAGTGTAAGGAGCAGGGACTTTGCTTGCCCCTTGAGTCTGGGAACCCTGCTGTTGCCGGAGCAGGAGGGGCAGCTTCCCAGCCTGAAGTCACGTGCCGGTTCTGTTCTGCCCCACGAGATACCCAGCAGCGTGACTCAGCAGCGTGACTCAGCGACTTCCTTGCTTACATTAGGCAATTAGCTGGTTGAGCAACTGGGGTGTTTTTATGCTCAGTTCACTTTAGAGTGTAACCCTTCAGACATTTCAGCCAGTGCTGTCGTCTGCCCTGAATTTGGGTGGGGCTGCAGTTATAATTTCTCTGATGAATATGGACGGATTCCAAGTCCAAGAAAAAAGCATATCAAAATAGTTCTTATGGAGTCACTCATTTTAAATATGGGCCCCCCTTTTCAGAGGTCAGGATTGGTTGCTGTCCAAGTGTGTGTTTCCCCGAGAGGAAGGTGGTGTTTTGCAAGTTGTCCTTTCATGGAGGAATGACCCACTGATCCAGGCCTGGGGACCTTACGTGTGCCACTTGTGAAATTCACTGCTGCTTCAGGAACTGCATTTCTCACGAGAGGGTCTCCATTTTGTCTCTGCAGGAGAATCCACAGGCGACGCTGACCATGTCTCTGGCACAAACTGACTTCTGCAGGAAGAATGGCTTCGATCCCCAGAGCCCCCTCTGTGCTCACATTATACTGTCAGGAGCTGTGACCAAGGTGAGCCATCGCCCGCACCCCAGGTGGCTCAGAGTGACATCCACCAACAGTGAGAGAGGAGCCTTCCGAGGGCAAGGGGTCCATCTGTGGCTGAGAAGCGCAGGGAGAGTGTGGGGCGTGAGCCCGTGGAAACGGAAGGCTTCATCCGACACGTTCCACAGGTCCACGAGACCGTGAGGAGGGTGAACCATTTTCTGAAGGCAAACAGATGTGACCATAAAGGCCCTAGAGAAAGCAGCCCTTGCCAAGCAGCCCTGCCCGCGGCACTGGGCCCTCTCCCTGGCTTTGCGCTGCACCAGGCCTCCTTGTCGGGCCCCTGCCCCGTCATCTCCAGGCGGGTTCCTGTGCGTCCTTCACGCTCCCCGTGTTTGCTCTCGAGTCCTTCCGTGTGTGGTCAGGATTTGTGGCTGAACAGACTCTTGGGGTTGGAAGGATGCTAGATCACACGCCCTCAGCAGTGAGGACACGGCGTCCCAGACACAAGAACCTTCTCTCACTTCTGTCCTTCAGGTGAACGACACAGAAGTGGACTTCGCCAAGCACTCGTTGTTCGTCCGACACCCGGAGATGCAAACCTGGCCTTCCAGCCACAACTGGTTCTTTGCTAAGTTGAATATAACTAACATCTGGGTCCTCGACTACTTCGGTGGACCCAAAATAGTGACACCTGAAGAGTATTACAACGTCACACTTCAGTAAGGGTTTGCACCCCTTTCTCCTCCCAGGGCCACAGCCCTTACGGAGGTCTCGGCCTCCTCATGTGCAGACCCCTGAGCAGGTCGGAAAGCCTGTGACCCCTTCTCAGAACCATGCCTTTAAATGCACAAACGTTAGGATTACAAAGCCAGCCACACAACTGTACTGAATCATTTATAGATGTTTGTAAATGCAGGCTTTTTTTTTTTTCTGTACCAGGGATTGAACTCGGGGGCACTCAACCGCTGAGCCGCATCCCCAGCCCTTTTTTATATTTTATTTAGAGACACAGTCTCACTAAGTTTCTTAGGGCCTTGCTAACTTGCTGAGGCTGGCTTTGAACTTGCAATCCTCCAGCCTCAGCCTCCCGAGCTGCTGGGATTACAGGTGTGCCCCTGTGCCCAGTTGTAATGAAGCTTTTTAATCATTCAATAATACAAGATCTAGTAATGAGTCTGAAACTTTACTGTCCAGACAGTAAGGACTGAAGACAACATTTTAAGACAACTTAGCAATGTCACGTGGTTTGAAAGTACCTGTGACTCCTGTGTTTCTGTGAGGACAGTCACAGATGCACCGTCACCGCTGTGTCATGGCCTAGATCCATCCTGGAGGAAATGATAAGTTCCATTTAGAGATTAATGAAAATGAGAAGCAGTTTTCCTTCCAGGTTCACAGACCCCTGAGCTGCGTCTGCAGGTCTGGCCCTCAGGTGGGGACCTCATTTAAGGCTGTGCTTGTTGGGCCCTGGACAGAGCCCTGTCATAACCCCTGGTGGCATTTTCCCGTGAGACTGCTCTGGACTGAGCCAGCACCCCGTCCCTCTCCGTCAGCCTGCAGTGCCGTGGGTGCCCGAGGGAGGCTGGGTTCCCCACCAGGAGGGGGCTGCTTGGCTGTGTGCAGAAGGGCCAGAGGCCAGGGTCCTCTCCTGGGCTGCAGGGTCCTCTCCTGGGCTTGGTAGGAATAGAGAGGTGGCACTTACAGTATCGTGACAGGGAGCAGTTTACAAGGCGGACAACAGTGAGCACGCAGGCGCTCTTGGGGGGTCAAGGAACACTCTGGGAAGGCAGGCATCTTTGGGTAACGTGTCCAAGGGCAGTGCTTGGTTTCATAACAAAATTAAATTGTTTTCCTGGAAGTCTCCACACTGAATAAGGGAGGTCAACAGACACTTCTGAGGTTCCCACTCTTTAATGCCAACCAGTGTGCGCTTCCCTGCAGCTCAGAGATAAGACGGAACGGCTTCTCCTTGTCCTGAGAGGAGGACCAAAGACGAGAGCAGGGCGCCTCCCCGAGACTGAGCGCCAGCACTCTGGGAGTGGGTGCTGCCTGGCCGCTGCCCTGGGTGGCCAGTCGGGGACCTCTGACCAGTACACGTCCATTTCAGGGTCTGGGAGTGGCCACCCCTGAAGGAGTGTACACTATTGTCTGGTGGCCAGGGCCTGCAGCCTCCTGGGGAGCCACCTCCAGACCAGCAGCCACCTTGCTTGGCTTGCCCAAATCTACTCTGGAAGATACTGTCTGTCTGAATGCCGCAAAGCCCCGGGCATCCGGCATGCTTGGCTGGGATGGAGTCTCCAGAGACCTCCACACAAGTGTCCCCGATCGGGCCCGACTGGAGGTGGTCTGCCTCATGGAGCCCTGGGGCCACGTCCTCCAGCAAATCCGCGCACTGAGTGGGAGGGTGAAAGCCTGGTGAGGTGTTTGCTGGCACCAGTTCTTATGAGGACAAGCCCGCCTCCTGTCACGAAAGTCCACGCAGCTCAGTGTTTGTCACCTCTGACGCAAAGACAGAAGGTCACAGGTGAACGGTCTGGTCTTCTTTTCCTGGAGATGGATTTCCTGATGGCGGTGGACATGGTGCAGCAGGAAGGTGGCGCAGGGTCACCTCCCACTGGGCTCGGTGTCTCCAGGCACTGGCTGATCGTCCTGGCGTGACCCTGACCTTCCTGTTCTTAAACCTTCAGGAGTTGCTCCTAGATGAGCTGCTGCGGCAACTGGCCTGTGTATCGCTGTGTCCACGCCACTGAGTGGTGAGATTGACTCAGAATCTTACACTTTTAGGTCACAGGTTTCTCTGATAGAATGAACTAACTTCTAAGATTCGCCGACCCAGGTTATGAGATGGTTCTTCCTCTCTCTCCCTTTTCCAGGTGAAGCGGAACACGCCAGCTACCCGGCACGTGTGAGGTTTCTGGCCTGCCTCCTGCAGACCCGTGGGCCTGCCGTTCCTCTGAAGTCCCCTGGAATATCCGCCCGTTTTCTACCTGCTGGTTGGCTTCTTTGCTTGCTTGTGTGGGAACTAAACTCGATTTCTTGGAAGTTGTAGTTGCCTGAATTTTTTTTTTCATATTTTGAAGCATTTTTAAAGGAGAAATTCTTTCATATAATTAAAGAAAATTAGTTTCATGGATTCCAAGTGCTTTGCAGTGGTGCTCCTCGAAGAAGACCAAGTGCAGGTCCGACGGCCATTGGCATTTGCAGGTACTGGCATGAGTCCTTTATTCCTGGTGGCCGCTGTGCTGGGCACGGGCCCTCGCCCCAGCTACCTCCTGGCTGCTGGTGCCTGGTGCAGAGGGGCCGCCCCTGTTAAAGTGGCCACATGATCCTTCCAAAGCGTGAGCCCGGTCGCAGCTCCCTGCTCGTGCCAAGCCACCTGACGGTCCCAGGTGTTGTTGATCCAACAGTGAGCAGGACTGTTTCTTATGAGGAACGTTGTAAACTTCTTACATTTTAAAATGACACTTACCTAGAACAGAGGTAGTTCATAGAAACTTCCTGAATTCTTCCCAAAGAGACACTTGATATCAGCCTCCTCCATTAAAAGCACCCATGCTCAGTGTTGCCCTAAAATAGGATTGTAAAGAAGGAAGGGAGTTTGTGTATCTCCGCCATTCTTGTTTGAGTAGAGTAGACTTGGGCCTGAACCAGTTCGGGCCAGGGTTAGTCCCCTGCTCAGCCACTCGCCACAGCCCTGGACGTCCCCCTCGGCAGCCACCTAAGCCTACCTGGGTCATCTACACGTCTGGATGGCTCCTGAAGCTGCCTTCCCAGGTCAGGCCACCTGAGGGAAGAGACGGCATTGAAAGTCACCTTTCAGGAGAGAAGCCACCACTTAGTTTGAGATTCTCTTAAAGAGGTGTCAGGATTCAGCAGGCTGCTGTATCCCAAAGTGGCAAACAGAAAAGAATGTGATTCATCGTGTTTGAAAACTAGAAAATGGACTGAAATCCAGCAAACAGCTTCTGTTCAAAAAACTGATTTGTATCAAGCTCAATAAAATAGTCTTTTTCAAAGCATCGGTAACTAGAGTGCGGTTTTAATAAAGCGTCTTGGACTGTGTTCTTCAGCACGGTGTTTACCACGCAGTTCCCTAGTCTGCTGTTGGGGCCCTTTTGCACTTTTATCTGAGCTCACTCTGAGTCGGCCCGAGCAGTGCCCAAACCCCACTTCCCACTGGCGAGGGCTCACTGTCCTGGCCTGGGCACGGCCAGCCTCGGGCTTCGCCACAGGTGCTTCAGTACCCGTGAGGCTGGAGTCCAGGTCGAGGGCTCCGTCAGGTTGCCCTTTGCCTGCTCTGTGAGCTTTGTCTTCAGCAGTTGGCACCCTGTGAACACGGACCCGTGCTCAGGTCGGTTCCAGCATACAGAGTAAAGCCGGCCAGGTGCCACGGCAGGTGCCCTGGGCGGCCCTCTAAGTCACTGTGCAGGCGTGCTGCTGTTACATCTGTTGGCCACGAGAGGGCACCAGAGACCACTTTTTACCCTGATGCGGGTTTCTTGTGCGGGCAGCCAATCTGGCCTCTGAGAAGGACGCCCTGGGCTGGGTTAGAGGTGGACGGCCTTGATGGTGACCCTGGAGTAAGGGCAGAGGGCAAGGGCCATGCTGCCGTGGCAGATCCCCTGTGCTGTCAGCCTCATCAGGCTTCCCAGCCTGCACCCTCCTGCGGCCCTGAGGGACACAGCCCTGGCCCGGGAGCAAGGCGGATCCTGATCAAGAGCAGGTTCAAGTAGAAGGGGCCAGGCGTGGGGGGCACCTGTATTCCCAGCAAGGCAGGAGGCTGAGCCAGGAGGCTCACAGGTTCAAGGCCAGCCGGGCAACTTAGCCAAACCCTGTCCCAAAAACAAAAGGGCTGGGGTGTAGCTCAGTGGTGAAGCATCTGTGCAGCATGCGAGAGGCCCTGGGTTCCAGCCCCCACAGCTGGCAGTGGGGGGGGGCGCTGAGGCACCCGAAGCTTCAGAGCCCAAATGGCTGGTTTGGCAGGTTTTGCCTTGGCCATCCATCTGCTCTGCTGGCCAAGGCACTTGTCCTTACCCAACCATGGCCAATAGTCAACGTGCTTCTGTCTTGTTGCAGGCTCGAAGTCCTTGCAGGTGTGCAGTGGGGTGGAGATGAAGCCATTATGGAATGAGGAAGATCAAGTGAAGTAATGCCCACGTGTTCTCCTGTTGAGTGTCATGCTGTACTCGGGGCAGTTCTCAGACTCATCACGAGGTCCTTGAAGAGGCCACTGTCCTCTCAGGGCCTGTGCTCAGCCTCAGTGCGGAGGACACAGTGCTCCTGAGTGAGGTCAGTGTCCCCGGGGGATTCCCAACTGCCTCTCCACCCAGGGGAGTGTGTCGGCTCTCAGGTGCACAGTGCAGCGTCAGTCCCTTTAGGAAGTCAAGGGGATCCGACTCGACACCCATCAATCTTATTTTTCCCTTCATGTTGTAAGAATTATATATTTGTATAGAAAATATGAAAATAAGATTTTGAATCTATAATCTCACCGGCTAGCACGGCTGCTGATATTTTGTGTCTTCTTCCAGGCTTTGCCTTGCGGTGATGTGTGAGCAAGGCTGGACCTTGCACATGTGGATCGCTGTCACACTTCTCTCTTGCAAGTGCATTGTGTTCCTAGGCACCATCTGAGAGGGCCACAGAATGGCTGCAGTCTTTCCTCGGATCTGATGCCCAGCTATAGACTAGCCCTCTGTGCTGGCGACAGAAGCAGAACCCCCATCAAGGCAATTTAAGCAGAAAAGAGGAATTCACCCATCTTAAAGTATGCCTCAGGACTCAGTCTTCACCTCTGCTCTGCCCTCTGCTCTGCAGCCAGCTATCAGAGGGCAAGGAGGGTTCATGCTTCCCAGCTGAGCCCAATGAGGGACAGGGTACCCTCATTGGCTGAGGTCCTGTGTCTGGGAGCTATTTGCTGGTTGACTGAGCCTGGGTCCTGTGTCTGGGGGTGGTGTCCTGGTTGACTGAGCCTGAGTCCTGTGTCTGGGAGCTGTGTCCTGGTTGACTGAGCCTGGGTCCTGTGTCTGGGGGTGGTGTCCTGGTTGACTGAGCCTGGGTCTGTGTCTGGGAGCTGTGTCCTGATTGACTGAGCCTGGGTCCTGTGTCTGGGAGCTGTGTCCTGGTTGACTGAACCTGGGTCCTGTGTCTGGGGGTGGTGTCCTGGTTAACTGAGCCTGGGTCTGTGTCTGGGAGCTGTGTCCCAGTTGACTGAGCCTGAGTCCTGTGTCTGGGAGCTGTGTCCTGGATGGCTGAGCCTGGGTCCTGTGTCTGGGAGTGGTGTCCTGGCTGACTGAGCCTGGGTCTGTGTCTGGGAGTGGTGTCCTGGTTGGCTGAGCCTGAGTCCTGTGTCTTGGAGTGGTGTCCTGGTTGACTGAGCCTGGG